GTTTCACAGTAGACAGATGGAAGGAAACATCACCACAGCATGTACAATCGCCTTCATCAAACACACAAAGGGTGTTTTAACAGTCAGTTACTTCTTGAGAAAGGGAAAGCTTTCCAGGAAGCAGGAATTATATAGTTTATGCATCCATCTTAAAACGAGAAACATTTTCATACTGATCTGTTGACGTTCTGCAGGTGCTGTTGAGCATTTGTAATTGGTGTGTTTATTTTCAGCAAAAAATTGACAGCTGAAAGTGAATAGGTGAAACGTGTTGCACTACAAATTGATCTAGCACCATACTATGAAAAAAGCAGGCGTATGATGTTGAAACAAAGCAGAGGTGCGAAACACTAGGAGTCTTTCATTAATAATGTAAACACAAAGTCATGTCAGTGTATGTTGTCATTAACTGACACACTTCCCACCTGTTCTTTATCATATGATAAGCCCTTTTAGTTAAATCTATTTATAACCTGGAATACAGATCTTATTACCGCCGTGTGGTAAATAGGTGGCTCATAAATAATAAATAAGCATGACAAATTTCCTGTTAAAAAGCTTTTTTTTTTTCATTTCCAATCCTGTCAGTACCTCTTTGTGAAAATATGGCTATTCTTCTAAACATAACAACATTCTGATAAGAGTACTCTTACTTGTTAGGTTGTCAAAAGCAATTAACAGTTCAGCTGCTGTCAAGGACAAACTTGACATGATACATTCACGAAGAAGTCAGCCTAATCACTACAGTGCTTGTATGCAGTTAGTTTAATGCACAACATTAACTAAGATTTGTATCATCACTCACACACATAAACACACACACACATACATATATTAATTTGCCTGTGGAACATTAGGTGAGGACATGTAAATTGACAATAATCTGGTTCAAAGACTTTAGTCTAATTGCTGCATTCCAACTACATGCCACTCAGCGTTAGACCCCTCATTAGTTTTGAGAGTTCTTAGCTTAATGAATTCGGTCCTATTCTGTTATAACCATGCTTCAAACTTATCTGACAGGATGTTAGTGACATGAGTTGCCTCCACAATAGACTTTTCTATTTAGTATTAGGCTGACTGTTTTAATCAAACCAAATGCAAGAGTTTTTATAAATAAAATTGTGCTTGCTAATCTCATAAGCACTCTTTTGCTTATATGCATGGGAAGTTATTTAGACTTTTGATCATTTATGATTTTAATTCAGATCTTTTTAACCATCAGTTGATGGGCCAAAATGCATGTTTTAGCTCCAGTTGGGCCCCAGTCACCTGTGCCTAGAGACCATGTGGCAACCACTTTACACAAGGGAAAAAAATGTATATTCATTCTACAACTGGTTGGTGAGTGGTTGTTGGAGGTTGCTGTAGGAGAAATTGGTTGCAAGTTGTCAAACTTTCTAAAAAACTTTTAAAGAAATGTGGTGTAGACCGGAAATTCACCTTAAATGCAAACTTCATCTTTGCACTTTTCAGAGTTGGTGTGTTTCATGCAAACCACAGGCAACACCTGAATCTGCTACTAACCAAAGCAGTCACAAGACGGTTTTCTCTGCAGCACCATGTAGCTTTTTGTAACCGCTTTCATCACTGCAACTGTCAGCAACCGCCTGCAAAACGTTTGCAACCAGTCAGAGATTGCACATTTTGCCCTTGTGACTCGTGGTTTCCAGGTTGTTGCCAGCTGGTCTTTAAGTCTGCATGTCAGGGTTCCTCCCTGTTGGTCAGTATGATTTACTGTTGGTGTCTTGCTGCAAACACCCCTAAACTGCAGTGTCTGGTGTGTGTGTGTGTGTGTAGGAAACACACAAGCACACACAGTGCTATATCACTGAGCTTTAAGGGCACAATACTATTAAAGCAAAATCAGAAAACAAAGAGAAAGGACTTTAATTTAATGGTGTGTAAGTGAATTTCCATTTCTTCCTAAATCTCATCACCACTATGATAGCATTTGCAGTCTGAAGGAAATTCTGGAAAGTAAACTAAAATGCTAAGCAAACATAAAGTATGTGGCAAATAAATTGTGCTGTTTAAAATGATGATTTTTGCCATCATTCTTTTTGTTACAATGAGCAAAGGCACAAAGTATAAAAGGCTGAAATGCAAGCAAATTTATTTTCATCTAATGTAGACAGATAATTCAGATTTTGTGTATGAATGCTAATATTCAGAAGTCTCAGGTGGACCCACTGCTTCCTCATAATATTTTCTTTTTGGTTTTAGCAATAATGTCGCAGACATAGTCTTTTTCTATATCTACTGCTCATTCATGCTGCATATTCATGCCCTATGGAACAGTTCAAATATTATTTCTTTCAGAGATTCTTTGTGTCTGTCTTGTGTTTCAACACTTTTAAAATTCTCTCTCAGTTGCCAATAAGGTAAAAGCAAATATTGAATTGTCCTCACTTCGTCCACTCCATCTTTCTCAAATCTTTTTCTTTCTCCAGAGATCCTTGAGAAAGTGGGAGAGAAAGACACAGGCAGGAAGAAATGAGGCAATAGCAATAGTTTCAACTCTTTGTGGTAAATCTCAGTGGTTCTTGAAAGTTGCCATGGATACAAACCCAGCCTGTATGGATGTGGAAAAAAAATGTTTTGTCAGGATGTATCAAACTCTTCAAAAATATCTTCTGTATTTCTACAGACTACGCTTTAGACATATTTGCACTGCTTTCTTTGTGAGTGACATGCTGTGGGGTACTTTTTTCCTACCAGAAAAACATACGGTGTTAACAATTTAAGCTCAAATGTGCAAATGCAAAGGTTTTGTTTTTGTGTTTTTTTTATATATCCATGGCAACTTGTAGAGTGGTGAACAAAGACAATAGCATAGCACAAACTGTGTCTTTGGACAAGTTATGCTGTTTAAGCTGAAAGGATAATACAAAACCACAGAACAGTATTGAATCAAGTATGGTCGGCAAAACCGCTGTCGTCTCTCAGCACCTCTGAATGTTAACGCACGACGACCTTGCTATTTAGCTCTGCAACCCATTCCTTCACCCATCCCTTTGCCCAGCTGTACCACACTGATAAGGTATATTAGTGAGTGTGCTCCTTCCATTTCTGCTACATGTGAGCATAACAAGTCATGGATTCACTGCGAGTATGATTAAAAGCAATGATGGGTAGAGTGTCAATTTGATCATATCTATAAAAAAAACAGAAAAGCAAGTTTTGCTATTTGAAAAATGTAAAGAAATTGTAGTTATAAGATTGTTGGAAATGACTGCAAAGTTCTATCTATCTATGTAGATACGCCCACACACACACACACACACACACATATATATATATATATATATATCTGTCTATCTAGATAGCTCTAGATCTAGACAACACTTTAGTTAGTATTTTGTGTTAATACTTGTTTATTACTCAGTAATAAAGTTGCATTCACATTAACATGCACACTCCACAACTTCCTTGTCACAACACTACCTCTCCTAGTTAAGGAAAGACAAAAAAGATTAGGAAAAAACACATTGGGGTTTGGGTGATTTGACATTACTCTGACCAAAAACCTAACAAAAAAAACTGTTGAGTGGACATTTAAGATAATCAGCTTTGGTTAAGCTGCTGCAACATTATAACTGAGGATTTCTTTTTGTGCCAAGAATAATCAAGAAGGTTAAACAGAAATATGAACCAGTGTCAAATAAGTTTTACACCCATGGCTGTATTTCACGTTGAATTATATTATTGTGGGGATTCATCTTATAAAATTTGACATGAGGAATTATGTGCCTTCTGACAGATAATATTGCTTTTTGGCGTTCAGATACTGCAAATGCGTTCTTCAGAAATCCTCAGAGACAGTTAAATTAAGAAAACACATTGTGTATTAGACAGTTTTTTCTCAATAGGAAGAAAATAAATCACCCCTCGTTTCATAGTAAATTAAGAAAAAACAGCAGCCTGTGGTTTTTTTTATCCGCTGCTAAAAACAAGTATTATTTGGTCTAAACTTACAGTGGAATCATCTGGTGAAGTCCCTGTCTTCGGGGATGAAGAGCACAACAACATCCTTAGAAGGGAAACAGTGAACAGGTGAGGGGAAAAGCACATAAAATCATGCCAGAGGCTAAACTTGTTAAAATGCAACAGCCATTTGTTGTATGAGGTGATGTCAGAGGGACAAAGGTAATTGGCAGTAACATGATGTTGGTCATGATGATTTGACCCTCTGCAACCATAACCCTTTTTGACCCCTGTAAAAGAATCTGTTAGAATCTACTGGAAGCTATTTAGGGACAGAAAACCCATTCATTTCACCACAGCAGGAAAGTAATAGCTTGGCAGTATGTGATTAGTAATTGGTAACATTAAACTGATCCCCATCTGACAATGAGACTTGCACCTGCAACTGTATTTGCTGATATTTTGGTTCTAAAGTTAAAGAAATGGCATTGCTTTGCTAATACCAAATAAATGCTCTGTATTGTTTAAATAAGGTATACTTTTAGACAAGGCATTGACATTTTTTAACTTTGTTCATTGTCATCTTGTTATTTATTACATCTCAAGCATTCAAGCTATTCATGCTACTAAGATGGTCTTTTAATACTCATAGCCCATAGTAATTATTTCTGTATTTATAAATAGAAGTTGTGAAAAATGTAAGCAAATTCATAACCCTACTTTTCATCCCGGAGTATGTCTCAGCTTTTATATGCTGACATCTCAGGAATGTCTGAAAAGAATTCAAATCTCAGATCATTACACAAATCTGCCATTGTTACAGTAGTCCCTCACTCTAGGCTTTGTATAAACGCGAACAGTGCCCCCCTCTTGCTTTCAGGTGGATTCCTGGAGCACTCTGTCTACAGCAAACAGCAGAGGCATCTGTGGTCCACGTATACCCCAACATCCACCTACTGTACATCTCAGTGCGAACATCTCTCCAACGCAGTGCGGCTTTAAGAGAACCGGGGCTCTTAAATCTGAGCTTGGCTCCTCCTACCTCCATGATGTCAGTCGGAGGGAGAGCGAGAGGGAGAGAGGTGAGCAGCATTGAGGAACTGAGTTCATACAATACTACTGAGACATCTACAGCTTAGCAGACAGATACGGTGAACCGCCTATCCCGGCTCCTGTAAGTGATGCTGCACTGAGGCACACTTTGATCCAACTCCACTGGGGGGGCGATGCGCTCTCTTTGCATCCCGCATTTAAGAGTTTTTTGGGGGGGAGAGCGCGTACAGCCTTGAATCAGTCAAAACAAGTGGTTATAACATTAAAATAGGTTTAAGCTTTCACTTTTTCATCAGAAGTCTCTCTCTGTTTTTTTTCGCCCTCTTGGATTTAAGTTTGATGTGCGGTTTAAGAGGCTTTTAACGCACACACGTGTAAGTTTGCTGCCAGCTGGCGAAAATAGGAATTTCAAGGCAAATTAGGCTAGAGAGACAAAGTTTATGTAAAACAAGCGTGGATCACTGCGTATCTCCGCCTGTGGGATTGTGAGCCCAATACATCCGAAGAGGAATTACAGCGTCCTTTAAGTTGATCGCTGTGCATGCCCTTTTTCTCTTGCACGCGAGGACCACATTTTTTTTTAGCACATGGATAAGTTTTTGTAGTGGATAACATTTTTTCTACGCTTCTTACCGATTTTGATGAGGATCCTTTCTGCCCGTTTCCCCCACTTCACATTAATTCATGGCACTTCTTTTTTGTGAATCAGTGATGTCTCTGCGCGACGGTACTCACGGTTGATTTTTTTCATCGTATTCGAACGGAAAGGTAAGCTTCGCTCTTATATACTACTTGACTGTTAAAAACAAAAGGCATTTTACTTCAGCGCTCATTGAATGTAGGCGCATATGACCGCTCTATCCCGTGTGCGTATTTGGAGAGCTCCATAGCCTAATTTATTTACTCTGTACGTACTGAAATCTCGGTAAGGGTGAAGGCATAAAGTATATATATATAAAATCAAGGACAACAACATAAACTGGACGAAAATCGGGGACTGTAAAGCCTAAAAGGTAGTTCGATAGTGTTGCGACAGTGGGTCATTTTGACGCTGAGTGGGTTTTCCTAGAGCTGCTCCAAAGATATAATAGGCGTCCCCGCGAACCGAGTGTAAATACAAATTATCCATTTACACGGTGCATCGTGGAGCATCTAAGCGGAGTTGTCGCATTATGAATGTGTACCGCGTGGCCGGTCACGACTTCGGGCTTTATTTAGTCTTGCTCGTTGCTGATCGCTAGATAGATAGGCCCACTTTCCAAGAGCATCCAACAACAGGGACTTTTCAGCGCAGGTTTCTCAACAGCTTGGCCGCTAAGCTCGGTGCGTGGGTGCGCGGCAACAGCGCGCTCCTGGTCAAGCGGTTTAGCTGTCACAGACCATAACCTCAGGGGCTTTCATCCTGTTCACACTCCGACTCTGGGGGGAGAGGGGGGGAAAGCAAACACGGAGTGAATTTGTTCGAGGAATAATAGTTCAAATAGTCAATATAAATTCCACTTCTTCCTAGAATTAACCACCGCGGTTGGCTTCTGTGGATAATTTGCTATACCTGACCCGCATGCATATTATTATTGTGGCTGTTTTGAGAGGCCTGTTAAACTCAGTATTTCCTGGAGAATAACTTAAAATGGTAATGTGAAGCTCCCGAGATGTGCCAGATATTTTGGCATTATCCTCAGCGGTTTATGTTAAAAAGGGAGTCAGTGGATGATGGAAGCAAGGTATATACTTTATTTGCAAAACACAAACAACTATTTTATCATTCACATCCACATTTTAAAATCGCCAAACGCAACTGAACCAACTGACTGTAGTCTTTAATATCCTTGCATGACATGATCCAAATTTGTTTTATGGCTCTTAGAGGTTGAACTACAGCACTACCGAGTGCTGAGTTTTGGGAGTCATTAACTTGCTCAGGGACACACTATGTGTTCTGAAGAGCTAATACAGTAAGTAACTGTGGTGTCAGGGATTCTTACCAGGAATGGTGTCTTTCTGTATTTGCATTCAAACTCTTTCCACAGTTATAATGAGTTTATATAATACAGTTAATTAAGGATTTCGCCACAATTTAAGTTCATTTTAGTTCCTCTCTTGGGTGACTTTCTGATGACACACTGTAGCAGATAGCAGGAGGTGTCATTTTCATTCTTCATCAACTATGACTTATTACATTTGACTACCTGTATAAAATGTATCTTTTCTGAAATGATTTCAGAATCCACAATGGAAAACTTTTGAAACATTTTGGCAACATCTTTCCACACCATTAAGAGAGACATTTATATTTTAGCACTTATTCATAATAGTGAATTTTTTCACAAGTTTTTCATAAGTTTTATTATTTTTGATGGTTTCTCTGACTATTTAGGATTGAATTTAGGATTAGTCAACCCAGACCCATAAATAAAAATTTAATACAATTTTAAAATGTACTTACAAGTTAAATTTAACTTGAGAGATGACGTAAAACTGCACCAATCGAATCGATCACTGATTTAGCTTTTGGATTTCCATGTATGGACTGCCCTCTTGAGGTCCATGATTACAGCACTGATATTTAGCTTGTCATCTTGGAAATAGCGGCGGTCATTTGTTTTCCTGTGTAGTAAAAGTCTTCTTATCCTAGTTAATCTAAGTATTAAATTGATTCAGAGGTGAATATGCAGTGGCTCAGTCAGCCAAACAGCATTGCATGAATCTACTTAAACATTATGCTAGATATTATGAATCAGAACTTTTTTTATGTAGTAGGTAACCCCCTTTTTTGTTGAACTTCACTCTACATACATTGCTGGTATTGTTTCCATATCGAGGATATTTTTTCTTGCAGTATATTACCTCGCACTATTACATTGCCTAAGCACTACAGCTTAGGCAATATAGACATTGCTGAAGTTTCCCAAGAGAAAACAACTTTTGTTCCACCACCATGTGAAGAGAATTGGTCCAGCGGTGTGCACTAAAAAAGAACTGACTGATCATGACAGAAACCTGGTCTGTCAGACTGTCAGCGATCCTTAAAGCTGTTAAAAGGGAAAATGCTCATGACAATCAAACGTATTCCATCTACCGGTGCCCTCTCTTTAAAATCTCTTTGGATCCACAGCCAATATTGATATACAACTGTGGTAAAAACCTGGCTTTGACAGTTAAAGGACTCCAAATGTCAGAGTAACTACACTGAAAGTTTCCAATAAGGGTATCTTTTAGGGGTGAAGGTAGGAGGTGGCAGTAGATGTATGTCTCCTCTCCTGCTGCTCCCTTCAGCGGTTGCAAACCACAGGAAGACCTGTCCATCACACTGTCGTGGAAAGTGATCTCAGGCCAGCCTGCTCCTCTTCGCTGTGTTTCCCAAGAGGGAGGCTTGAGTTTGCCTACTGGATTCAACCTGCTGTCTGGGGCTCAAAATAGCATTTCAGCAGACTAGTGAAATGTAAGCAAAGGAGACACTCTGACTGACACCTAGAATCCCCCTCCTCTTACTTTTCCCCCCTCCAGCACAATTCCTTTCTCACCTAGCTTATCCCTTATGGACAGGTTTTTAAAGAAGTGTGACAAGTGAAAATCACTGCACTTGTTGGAAAATCATGGTTCAGAGAAAAGATCCCACATCAAATTAATAGAATACCAGGAGTAAATATGTTCAAGGGCAAGGTGTACCTCTCACGTGTTAAATAGTTAATATTTTAACTTCATTAGTTAAATAGCTACAAATGTATATTTATCCTGATGTATATGTATATCTGAAATAGAAAAAAGAGCGCATTTGCAACACCCATTAGCGATGCAAGGGTGTCTTGCTTATTACTACATTTGTACTCCTCCATGTACTGAAGGAAAAACATACTACACGCCTTCATCCTGCAGCACATTATTGTCACTTACCAGAAAGAGGAGATCTAGATCATGCTTTGATCTTTTCTGTTTTTTTCACTTCAGCGAATCACATCCCATTTAAGGATGTAATTTAAACTTCATTTTGCGTCGTGCGAGCTCAGCCTTGCACTGCCTGGCGATCATCACAGTAAAGCAATTGCTGCTCACTCTAAGAAAGATGCACACTTCAAAGTAAAGTGTGTCACGGTTACTAATAGGATATATCTCATCGATATTTTGACGCGACAGTACAGCACTGCTAATATTGCACGTGTAGAATGAGTAACCCTCACACAGATCAATGTCATCTCGCTCTTTTTTTCCTGTTCAACTGTTCTTTAATGAGTCTCGTGCGACTGCTTTGTGAAATGTGGGAAGTCTGTGTCTACACATTTCATGAATGCCTTGCATTTGTTGGAGATTCAAAACCAGCTTAATTAAATTCTTATTTTTAATCAATTCCCCTTTGTCAGCGGGCAGAAAGCTTCAATAGCTATGAACGCTGTTGCCTTGCCAATTTAGAGGACCCCTGTAGTGCAGTTTAGGTAGTCATACTTTTTCTACAGAATACTGTCTCAAATGGATGGAAATTTTATAAAGTAGTTAATATTATACCTGGATACCAACAAGTCGGGTATGCGTACAAATTTAAAGCAGAATCTGTAAACTGTGTCGTGGCTGTCATGCACATTTGCCATCCTTTGAAGCTAATGTGTGTTTGATTTCAAGGCAGCCGCCTTGTGAATACAAATCGATATCTTGAGGATATTCATATAAGGTTAACAAACACTCACTGGGAAAGTTATTAGCTGTTAATTGTGCTGCAATGCAGATGGGTGGTTGTGGCTGTGGGGTGGGGGTATGCTTATAAGACTTTACCCTTACATGTGGATTAAAAACAGACCAGTAATATAATATTCCTGCCCCCAACCCCCCCCGAAAAAAAAAAAATTAGCAAAGAAGGATGCACTTTTGTAATAAGACTTAACTTCTGCCTATTAATGCATATGTGGCAAAAGCTCAGTGGAGACCAGCGCAGCTGTGGGTGACACTACGGAATACAGTCTCTTGAGTAAATCCAAGAACGTTAAATGAATGAACTCATAGAAAATGCTAGCTAGCAAATCACATCACACACAGAGTAACTCACTTAATAACAGGTAAGGGTTCAGGGGGCAACATGTATTTGGTGTCACTGGGCAAACAAATTAATAATAACCGTGTGGTATATTCAATTAAAATGCTCTCACAGAGATCTAGTCTCCTTCTCCTCTCCTATCCTCTTTCTAGGTTTTCAAACAATAGAAAATTTAGCCTGTGACTGCAGACTTTAGTACGTTAGTAACCTTATTACACCAAATCAGGTGAGCTGTACAAATTAGTATAGTGAATGGAAAAGCCAAGACAGGAGGTATAACACAGTGGCGTAATGTGATAAGCAGGAGTAAACAGGGTTTGAGTTTTTGTAGCATATTGACATATTTTTAGCTTGTAGTATGTGCATATGTCCATGTGCTCAGAACTGAAAGGGGGGAGCTGCAGGAGGGCTGCCATTTTTAAAATCTGGCATTTTTTTTCCCTGCAACCTTTTCTCACTTTCTGCCTACTGCAGCTTTAACCAGTGGAAAGCAGTCAATATTTATGCTACAATATGTGCTGAATTGTAAGGTATTAGTCAGTATCGTCGTCCGATGAGCTACCTGGATTTTAGCAATCGAGGATCTTGCGCTTTGGCAAGCTTTTGTACTTGTACAAAAGAAAAATGTATAACAGACTCAAACGAATTGGGTCTCTGTGCTTGAAAAGTCGTCAGTGAATATTGTTAACTTATGTGAAATCAGCCTCACTGTGTTTTAAACATTTTTGCCTCGCAAACAGCAAACTGTGTGCAGTTTAAATTTAATGCTGGAGATAAAACATTTGCTAGCATGTAATGAAGGTCAGATTAAATTTCTCTAATTTGGCTAATGGTGGCTCTCGCAATAAATCATTTCACGTTGTTGTTTCCTTCCACTGCTCTTACTTAAAACAATGCTTTCATCATACTGTGCTAGTTTACGCACACGCGGATGTTCATGAAATATTTGAGAGCTCGATTGTTTACATTCCAAACAAATGATGCTCTCCATTAATAGCTGCTGTCAAGCGGTACAACTCCAAGTGTCTGTGTATGTGCGTGTGTGTGTGTGTGTGCGTTCATGCATGGAAGCAACAGTGCTTAAGGCTCATTTCTGCTTTTTCCAAATGAGCCAAAGCCTGCGTGTGGATGCGCTTTATAAGGACACTACTGTAGCATATTGACTTAGACCGACTCATATATGATGGCGGAACAGCAGAACGGTGGTTAGTACTGCCTCAAAGCAAAAGGGCGCCTGCGTGGGTTCTCTCTTTGTACTCTGGCTTCCTCCCACAGTCCAGAGACATACAAGTTAGTTAAATTGGTGATTCCAAATTGGCTGTAGGTGTGAATGTGAGCATGAGTGGTTGTCTGTCTGTCTCTCTGTGTTAGCCTGTGATAGATTGGCGACCTGTCCAGCGTGTACTCTGCTTTTGCCCTATGACAGCTGGGCTCCGACCCCCCACAGCAACTCTCAAATGGACAAGCGGTTAGGGAAATGGATGGATATAAATGGAGCTTTTATCCATTTTTTGGTTCTTTTTTTCAGGCAAAGTAGTTTGTTAACAAGCTTTGAAAGCAAACTATTTCATTGTAACACTGAACCTAATTGCTTTCATATTTCTCAATAAAAATATTAAATGGTACATTACGGCGATGAAATGGATTGATGGAATGCATGAACTACTAACCTTTACGTGTTCGCTTGCTCAACGGATGTCATCAAAGGTTAATTGTGTAAAACTGCCATTAATTTGCTCTCAAAGACATGGGAAGGATGTTGGCTCATAACTAGTTAAGATGAAGAGGTCAAGTTGAAAACTCTCCATGAGGGAAAATAGTACTAATTACAGCAGAACTTGAATACCGTGTAATTTTCTGCACTGACATTGTGCGTTCTGTCTTTCTCTCTTCTCCCCCCCCCCCTCGGCTCGTCTGTCATGACAGATTTGCTGCAGTGAAAGTGAGGCTCCCATCTACTCTTGAGTATGGACTTAGCAAGTCAGGCTCATGTGCTGGTGGTCTTGCTCACCTGTGTGGTCTTACAATGCCAGGCCCAGGAGAGGGACTACACAGTGAAGGAGGAGCAACCGGAGAACGTCCGAATTGGGAATCTGCGCAAGGACCTGGACCTGAACCTAGACCCCAGCATCAGGCTATCCTCGCCGTTGCAGTTCAAGCCTGTGTATAAAACGGGCGATGTGCCTTTGGTGAGGGTGGAGGCTAACACAGGGGAGATCTTTACCACCAATCACAGAATTGACCGGGAGAAGCTGTGCTCCGGGGTCTTCAACGAGAAACGCTGCTATTACGAGATTGAGGTGGCAGTGTTGCCGGATGAGATCTTCAGATTGGTCAAGATCCGCTTCCTGATTGAGGATGTGAATGACAACGCACCCCTTTTCCAGTCCACTGTAATAAACATCTCCATCCCAGAGAACACAGCCATTAACACACGATACCCGGTGCCCTCAGCATTTGACCCTGATGTTGGGATCAATGGGATCCAACATTATGAACTAGTCAAGGTGAGGATTAAGCCTGTTTCATTATTGATATATAAAAAGAGAAAAAAAGGAATAAAGTATTTTGTTGTGGTCTTTGAAATCATAATAATGTTAAAATGGAAAATTGAGTAAGGCGGTATTTCCTTATACATTAGTGAATTTTCAAAAGATTATTGGAAGTATTGGAAGAATCAAGTTTTTTAAATATCTGGTTCAAAGTGGATTTTGTAATGAGCTTTTTCATTAATGAACCTGAAATGTTTAACAGACCTCTGATGGATCTAATGCTTTTTGTTGGTTCTTCCGATTTCGGAAGTTGTATTTGATTCTTTTACGAATTACGATTTTGTTTAAAAATCACTGTGTCTGAGTCCCTAGCACTAATGTATCCCTGTTTTGTTTGATATGTGCTGAACTCTCAACTGTAACAAATTCATTAATAATCAAACACATCCAGGTAGCAGAAAAGAATTTCCATGTAAGGACTTCTTAAAATATCTACTTCACTATAATACTCCATGCTGGCAGCCTAAACTAAATGCTGTTTCTTCCAAATTAAATGGAGTAGTAAGTGACTGAAAGAATATGGCCCGAAGCACTGTGTTACTGGAACAGCATTCAAGGTACACGTTTACTGAAAGGATTAAATAAAATAAATATACTTTAATTGTCTGTTAGATATATAACTTTCTGAGCAGTTACAGGCACGCATTTGAGAGATTGAAAACGATTGTAGTAATTTGTTTTGGAGAAACACTTTTAAAGAACAAACACACAATAGAAAGTATGAAATTAATTGTCTGACTTTCTTCGAAGCAAGCACAATATTCAGTGCTCACATTATTGATTAAGCTGTGACAAACTCTTACGCCTGCAACATGCCACCTGTGTACATCAGGTCTGAATAGCTGACTATTTGTTAATTAATGAGCTCTTACATTCTTTTTCTTTGTCAGTTTTGTAGACTTCATTTAATACGACTCAGATTCTGCATTAGCTGATTCTTTAAACCCTTTATAGTGCTGTAGAGTGTAGTGCTATAGTGTATATATGCATACTGCAAATGAATTCACAATTTGCATTGAAAATATGACCTACTTTTTCATACAGTGCAATATGTTGGAGAGTCTAAAAGATTATATACCAGCCATTAATATCTCCATATCTTTTTCATTAGTAGAGAAGGCTGTAAAAAGGGTATGTTTTCACTGTGTATTAACAGAGAACATGTAGCAGAAAGTGCAGACACAGCATAAACTGCATGTCCAATTTCCAGCAACAGGTTACATATGCTAAATATAGCGCATTAAACCAGGTGTAAAGGAATAAACTGTATTGTTGTAATATGCATCCAGTACAGGACTAGGAAAAGCCTTTTTTCTGCACTGTAATATTCTTTCTTACCTAATGAAGTCAGCTCCAAGTTGAGGATATTATCATGTGTTCTTCAATTACAGTCTAGACAACACTTTGCAGATAAGTAGTGAAGATTACATGATCACATAAAATTGAATTATATAACTGTAATAATTGTTGTACTAAAAGTTGTTGTACTTAAGGGAACGGTGTGAGGCAGCATGACAAGTCCACTGTGGAGTCTCAGATGACGTTAATATTGTGTAGGAATGAACAGAATCATTGCTGTCTGTGTCTGCCTTGAATACCAATTTGCATTTTTAAAGAGTCTCCCCACTGCCAAGACCTCTCCAGCGCAATGTCCTGAATTGTTCATGCCTGGAAAATCACCAACCAAATGTTCTGCTCATTACGATGATCATTTGCAATAATTTTCTTTACCCTTCCCACAATATGGAGCTTTCTAAAAACTGTACCTAGGCTGTGGTTGTGTTATCTTTTCCAGGAAAGTCTTCTTGCAGCATCCTTGGCTCCACAGTCCCATTTCGGTACTTCTCATTATATTCTCATTGTATTCAAGATTAATTTGCTTGTATCCCGGGTTCCATATGAGTAAAACGATGTAGGGTGAAGCATTAAAGTGAGTTGGATGCACTTTCAGCCTTTGGTATGTTTTATTTCCGTGGCGAAGTAGAAAGCCAGGGGTTTAGGGGGGAAGGAATGTGTAAGCAATTCCTAGAATAGCTCTTGGCCGCTAAGCCACCCTTGGACTATCTTTGTATGGTCCTGTGAGATTTGTCTCAGAAGCTCCCTCAGAATGATAGTTTGCCCAGTTTTTTTTCTCGTGTTGTACAGGGCACAGTGCTAAAATTGCTTCCATTGTGTAGCACAATGAGCCATACTCAGTGGTGTGTCACTCCACATGTAACTTGCCTGAGTTGTCAATATACAGAAGAAATGAAAGAAACATGGTGGCCTTTTTTGTGCAACTTTCTTCTTTTTCAAAGCCAAGAGGGACAACGGGTAATTTCGTCCTACACAGTGCTCCAGCTCCACATATAATGGTTGGTAATCATACTTTGAGCAAAACTCCACCATCAGTGCAGCGGTGTGTTACGTCACCTGAATTGAATAGAAGTTGTCCTAAGAAATGGTCAAGGTCAGAGAAAGTAATCACATGCATGGCTGGAGAAGAATCCCCCACAAAGGGAGATTTGATCACTACATATTCACAGGATAAGTCGGGTCAACACAGAACGGTACTCAGGACTAAATGAGATTTTAGCGTTTGTTTTCCTCTCGCTTTTTACAATTTCAAAAGTTGGCACCGTTCTTTATTCCGGGGCTTGGTGCTTGACGCGTCCTTGCATTTACGTCAGCATCTTTCAGTAAATTTAAAACAGAATATATTTTGTTTAAATTTGATTCTGTCACTAGCTTGACTATGTTCCACTAATAAAACAATGTCTGTATTTAGGGCATTTATGCTTAACCTTATTCCAACAACACATTTTGTCTGAAGTTATTTCCAAGGCCAATCCACTATTATTATTATTTTTACATTTCTAACTGAAATATACCTTAGATTTTGAAGCGGACTAGTCTTTTTTTTTTCTGGTACTCTGAGTCTGAGCCTGACCAAATTCATTCCCAAACTGATTTGAAGATGCAAAATTTATTCAAGCTTCATTCCCATGTAGCAAGAAAAATGTGATTAATTCATTGCATGGCGCCTATAGGCATTGAATATTTGGGTGGAGAACTCACTCTCAAGCATTTCTACTTTTCATTAGCATCCTATTTTGACACATTTTCTTCTTCTAGGGGTTGACGAAAAGAGGCAAACACTTCCTAGGTTCCTTTGTCTTAATTATATGCATGAGATCATGGCCAGGGGCAAAAGGGGATGAGGGATAGAGAGAAAGAATGAGGAAGAGAGAGAGAGAGAGAGAGAGAGAGAGTTTCTATCAGCATTATAAAGAGGTGCTATAGCTTGTGATGAATACCTCTGCCTATTTAGTCCCATCCATGGGCATCACCGTGACTAGAGTCTTCCTGATATATTCACAGCCCAATCTGAGTCTCCTCTGAGTTTTAATAAGGTCATCAAATTGAGTGAAAGATGCATCTACTGATAATCTGAGGCACTGTCGGCAAAATGGGGTTCAGATTCATCCTTCCCTCATCATCTGCCACCTCTGCTTCTGTCAGTGTCCCTCAATCATTTTCATTTAAATTAGCCAACTCTGATTAGATTTTGTACTTCACAAACCTCACATATACGGTGCTCTAATCCCCCCCTCCCCCCTTGGCTTCCAGAGAACCTGTGGCCCTGTAATGTGGGATGAAAGGCAAGTCATCAAAGTTCAAGAAGACATGTACCTGTACGGAATATGTGAGGTGGCAGAGCGAGGCATGGTCTAATGTGCACACTTGACCGTTTAGAGAGCTTTGTCCTTCTCACTCAGCCTTAAGGTTTCCAGTGAGTGATTCATGCTAGTATTTGGCCTTTTCTTAGCCTGCCCTAGATCTTATCACAATCCACCAGACTAATTCTGCATTCAGGAGGATGCACAGCCTGAGAGATAGCTCTCCCCGAGTTATTGAAATGCGGTGAGTGCTGCCTTGTCAGTTGTAAAATTGTGTGGAAAAAAGACAAAAGCATAGAGGAAACGCCGGCTTATAAATCATTGTGCAGCATTCCCTTTGACACATGCTAACTCAACATCCTACTATTAACATCGGGCTTTGCAAAAATATCAGCGTGCAGCTATACTGTGCCGAATCTGCAAACTATTCAAACGACTGAGGATTGAGGAGATCTGTATAGCTCGAGTTGTGCTTAACAATACAGCCCCTAGAATGTTGTCTTGGACTTTTCAGTTAGAAATACCTCTGCTGGGTACATAAAGATTCAGCAGAGTTTATCCATAAGGCAATTTTTTTTCTACGGTTCCACGCAGAGTTTTATATGCAATGTCTGCTTATCCCTATATGACTTTTGCTTGCCAGAAGGATGACAAAATAAGGTCTGAAAGATCATTGCTGCAGTGTTGGCTGTTTTAAGTAGTTCTGTCAATCACTGACATGTTGACAACATTCCCTCTGCAAGCAATTTTTCAGAGTACACAATAATTTACATGCTGCAGCTGCACGTTTTCTTGTGTCGGCTACAAAGCTATGTTGGCACAAGGACAGTTCTAGATTTTGAAACCTACTGAGGACTCTTGTGCTCACAATTTGGTTGAAGTGTTTCTCCCTTGAATAAGCAGAATGTATATATCTTAATCTCATTTGATAGCTGTGCCTAGACAGAGTAATCTCTTCCAACATTATGTGCAGCATGAAGCTTATCTCTTTAAAGAGGATGCTTTTTCTTGTTTTACCATGAAACTGCTTCTGACTGAAAGAGCTTCAAAGGGCTTCTTTGTTTCATAATGTGCATGCAGCTCATTCATGGGCTTGATCGTCTTCTTATTTCTTCCCCCTACTCTCTCTCTCTCTCACTCTCTGTTTTTTTCCCCTCTCTCTCTCATACTAGTATGCTATGGTATGGATCCATACCATGTATTTGTCAGGACTACGAAAATAGTGAACATTAGTGCTAGTTTTTTAGGGGGGTGGAAGGCAATTACTCTTAACGTTGAGTGTCAGGTCCTCGGGTTTATCATGTGGATTATTCATGTATTTGTTTTTATTATCCTCCAGCTTTACTTTTGCCTAGATTTAGCTCCTCCTGAGTGAAAAGCATGTCTAATATGCAGAATTTTTAACTGTCTGTCTTTTTATGTATAGAGATTTCTTGAGGCGTGTGCAAGTGCTTTATTGGTGTGTCTCCATTCTTGGCTGTCTCTCACTACTATGTCAAAGTTTAAATGTTTATAAAGTCAGCTGTTTCGTTTTAACTTGAGACTGTACAGAAAGGTTGAGTGAAGTCTGATTTTATTGATAGTAGCAGAAACTGGATGATGAGGATAAAAAGGTAAACAAAGTAGTAGTTAGTCAAAACAGATCATTTACTAAAAAATGGTTATTTGAAAAGGATTTATAACCAAGTATTTCATATATTTTTTGGGATGTGTTTAGAAAGTGTCAGAAATGAACAAAAGCCTGAAAAAAAGCTGATGATTAGCATGTTTGCACATTTGCAGGGACCCAACTGAGATGAGCAGAGCAGAGCAAAGAGCCAGCTGCCTTTGTTGAAGAATTTCCCAGGCTGTTTAACTTGACATTCATCAGGATGCATAAGAAGGGCTACAAAGGAACCTGAATAACCTAAGGAGAAACCTCAACAAGATGTTTGTTGTTATAAGATAATTGAAAAATCTGCAATTTAAGAACAAAAATGCCCAAGGATGCCTTGGAATTGTTATCACATATTTCTTTGTTATTACCCAAGTCAAAATGTGATGTTCTTAGTTATGGTACTAATATATCAGTCGAGTCTGGTTTTATTGAAGTGGCATAGCAATTTTTGCACCAAATGAAACTCACACTGTCTTGTGCCAGACAGTATAAAGGGGAAAACCCCTAAAAAACAAACAAAGAAACACAAACTTAAGGATAAAATCCTGTGAGAAATGTCATTTGAAGTTAAAAACAATGAGTGGACATGTAAAATGCTATTTAACACTAACAAGCTGGTTTCATTTTGTTCCCATTATTCAAATAGGTATATAAAATCAACACCTACAATTAAATATATTGTCCTATCTTTGCAGAGTGTCAGTGAGTTTGGCTTAGACATCATTGAGACGCCCGAAGGTGACAAGTGGCCGCAGCTTATCGTTCAGCAGAACCTGGATCGTGAACAGAAGGATACCTTTGTCATGAAGATAAAGGTGGAGGATGGTGGCAACCCTCCCAAATCCAGCACAGCCATTCTCCAAGTCACCATTTCTGACGTCAATGACAATCGCCCCGTTTTCAAGGACAGTGAGCTGGAAGTCACAGTACCAGAAAACGCACCAGTGGGAACATCGGTCGCTCAGCTTCATGCCACGGATGCAGACTTGGGTTCCAATGCGCAGATCCACTTTGCCTTCAGCAACCAGATCTCTTCCTCGACCAAACGTCACTTTGCCATCAACAGCTCTACTGGACTTATCACTGTGAAGCAGCCACTGGACAGGGAGGTAACTCCTGTTCATAAACTCATTGTCCTGGCCAGTGATGGCAGCTCCACCCCTTCCAGAGCCACAGTGACTGTTAATGTAACAGACATTAATGACAATGTTCCCTCTATAGACACTCGCTACATTATCAACCTGGTTAATGGAACTGTTCTGCTGTCTGAGAATGCACCTCTGAACACCAAAATAGCCCTAATTACTGTTACTGACAAGGATGCAGATCTTTATGGCAAAGTAGCTTGCTACACTGACCATGATGTTCCTTTTCGATTGAAGCCTGTCTTTAATGATCAGTTTTTACTCGAGACAGCTGCTCCTCTAGATTATGAGACGACTCGAGAATATGCAATTAAGATAGTGGCCTCGGATAGGGGGACACCTCCTTTGAACACTTCAGCTATGGTCTTAATTAAAATCAAGGATGAGAACGACAATGCGCCCATCTTTCCCCAGCCAGAAATCCAGCTTTCCATACCGGAGAACAATGACCCCTCTACACAGTTAATAAAAATAAGCGCCACTGACGCAGACAGTGGACATAATGCAGAGATTATTTATACTCTCAGCCCTGATGCGCCTGATGGGTTTAACATTGACAGACGGTCAGGAATTCTCTCTGTTGGCAAACGACTGGACAGAGAGAAGCAGGAGAGGTACTCATTCACTGTCATAGCGAGGGACAATGGCTCTACATCCCTGCAGAGCAATGTCACTGTCAAGCTAATTGTCCAGGACCTTAATGACAACAGTCCAACTTTCACACACCCTGAGTACAACTTCTATGTGCCTGAAAACCTGCCTCTCTATGGAACTGTTGGCTTAATCACAGTAACGGATGCAGATGCAGGAGATAATGCTGTTGTAACTTTGTCCATTTTGAATGGGAAAGACAATTTTATCATTGACCCCCAAACTGGCGTGATCAAACCCAATATTACCTTTGATAGGGAACAGCAAAGCTCCTACACATTTATGGTAAAGGCAGTTGATGGAGGACAACCTCCAAGCTCCTCCTATGCCAAGGTCACTATCAATGTAGTCGATGTGAATGACAATCGCCCCGTGTTCGTCATTCCGTCCTCCAATTACTCATATGACCTAGTGCGAACCACCACCACCCCTGGTGCTGTGGTCACCAGAGTGTTTGCCATTGACAATGACACTGGTATGAATGCTGAGCTGCAATACAGTCTTATTAGCAGCATCATCATTACATCTAGGGTCTCCCCTCGAGGTCTCTTTGCCATCGACAGAACAACGGGTAACATAACACTGCAGGAGAAAATAGTTTCAGCTGATCAGGGGCTGCACAGGCTGGTAGTCAAAGTCAAAGATTTAGGCCAGCCGGAGTCATTACATGCTATTGCACTCGTTCACTTGTTTGTAAATGACTCTGTGTCAAATGCTACCTTTATACAAGAGCAACTGCGAAAAAGTATGGAGACACCATTGGATCGCAACATAGGGGACAGTGAGGTAGCACCTCAAGCTAACGGATATGTGATTGTCGTCATAGCTATCATAGCGGGGACCATGACTGTCATCTTGGTGATATTTGTGACCGCTTTAGTGCGCTGCCGACAGACACCCAGACATAAAGTAGTGCAGAAGGGCAAGCAAAGTGGAGAGTGGGTGTCACCTAACCAAGAAAACCGTCAGATCAAGAAAAAGAAGAAGAGAAAGAAGCGATCTCCTAAGAGCCTCCTCCTGAACTTTGTGACCATAGATGAATCCAAGCCTGACGACCCCACGCACGAGCATGTTAATGGTACACTGGATCTCCCTGTGGAGCTAGAGGAGCAAACCATGGGGAAGTACAACTGGGCAACCACGCCGACCACCTTCAAACCTGACAGCCCCGATTTAGCCAAGCATTACAAATCTGCATCCCCTCAGCCTACGTTTCAAATCAAACCCGAAACACCAGTGGCCCCAAAGAAACACCACGTGATCCAGGAGCTCCCCTTGGACAACACATTTGTGGTGGGATGTGACTCACTCTCCAAATGCTCATCGACTAGCTCCGACCCATACAGTGTCTCAGAGTGCAGCTGTCAGGGGGGATTCAAGACTGCGGGGCAAAGCACCAACCGACAGGTAATTCATGACTTCCTTTTTAAACCCACCCACACTAGTCCCCACTCACGCTCCCCTTGCTGTCCTCTGGTAGGTGATGTTAAAGGGGGTGGGTGGGAGCATGAAGGAAGGGGATTTACCTACACAGACCATGACCATGTCTTCATGAATGTCATTTCCACCTAAAAATGGGAAGAAATGAAACAAACAAAAAATGAAAGAAAACGCAATTTGTTGCAATTAATGCAGCAAACCTTCCACTGTACTGTTGTTAATCCACCCTGTTTTCATTTTGACCATTTAAATGCAACCATAACTGTATAATCATTTACCATAAAACATGCTCAGCTTTCAAAATCCCATCTTTGAGCAATGGAAGCAGAACAAGTACAGTGGCTAGCTGTTTTAAAATGGACAGGGAGTAGTTGCTGGCGGTGCAAACTGGGATATGCAGCAACTCTGAATTTGAGTTATTAGGATGAATGAAGCTGTGACTATTTGGCTAACATTGTCAAAGGCACAAGTGTGAAAGTAAAAGTGCGAAAAAATTAAAAAAAAAATTGTGCTAAAACAACTTGATAAAGAAATCCCATATTTTTGTGGCTTCAGTCGTGAAAATATTAAGTCCTAGCTTAACTGTGCCAGTGATGCTTTGTGGGAGTGAAACTCATCTGAATGCCAAGGTATAGCAAAGGGCTTATGATTCCCTAAGAGATATTTGCCAAATGTGAAGTGCCCCAATAAATAAAAACTGGCAAAGGGAAATAAATGTAAATCAGAAGTAAGGAGAGGTGGCCTTGCTCTGTGCTGACAGCCAGAGCAGAGCGCTGTGGGGAAGACTGAGTACTGTTTGGGGGGGGTCACAGGGATCAAGGTGACGCAGAGCCTTGAGAACAGTATACTTAAACACCAAGGGAGCAGTAAAATAAAAAAGCCAGCCAGGCCAGTGTTGCATTTAGCCCATAAATGTCCTACTTTAATGACCCCAATTATTGTTATAAATGGCATATGTTGATTCAAATACTTTACATTTTTTAAATGGTCTCACGTTAGAGAGGATCACAACAAAGGTTTGCCACACTGATTTGTTGCAGTTTGTGTTCGACAGGGTGATGTTGTTGTATTTCTAATACATGACAAAGTAATATCATGTTGATATTTGACCTGCTATCACTCCGACGATGGAATTAATGAAGGTTGATTGGTCTGTGCGTGGGGTTGTAATTTATTCATACCGATCTGTGTGTGTTGCCATAGTTTTCCCTTAGTGTCAAACATCCAGTTGATTTTTCTGGCTTTTCCAATCATTTCCTTGTGTTTCGTTTTGCTTCTTTTAAGATTTTTGATGATTCCCATTGTTGCTTGGTTGCACTGGCTTTCGTTTTTGTTACTGTTTTGATCATGACTTTCACAACTGTCATTCATGCAATTCTGGGTCAATTTCATGATATTGCATCAATAATTGATTTTGTTTGATGAGGTGCTTGCTTTTCTTTGTGTCTAGCATCATATTGCACACAGTTTCTCGATCTTTGGTTCACGTCTTTCTTTTTGCTCTCACTATGCTTCTATTTGAGATCTAGCAAGCTTTAAAATTCATCATAGCTTAGTTGTGGCAAATGACTGTTGATCCTGTGAAGTATTGTACTTAGGCTAATTTATGAAGACACCCACACAGACTTGATAGTCATTCCCTTCATCCACCTTTTATTTGAACCCCTAGTTAAAAGCTATGCTCTGCCATGGTACATTATACATAAGCCTGCTACATGCCCCTGCTACCAAAGATTTCATCCATAATGTGTTTATATGACACACTGACGAGTTGTCAGAATGATTTTCCACTCTTACAAGTAGTGGCTGCCCTGAAATATGCAGAAATATTCAGCCTGTGTTCAACCATCCTAAGTTATTATCCGTTATGAATTTTATGCATCAAGGATTGAAATTGATTTCCACTCATGTTACTGATCAGAGTGAAGAATTGTTATTTTTATTTTTATTTTTGCAAATAATTTCAAATCAATGAATATTTAATTAGTAAACATTCTGCCAAATCTCTTCGGCTATGGTTCTATCTGATTATTTCTAAGGTATATTTATCCACTCTTCTAATAGAACATGGGTTTAATATTCTCATATTCTGGTATTATATCCAACTAATATTTCAATATTAGCAAAAAAAAAAAATGTTCTCATTGGTTTTCCTCAGCGATCCATCTTTAGTGATGTTAAGCTGGCGATATATCTATTTTTTTCTCTCTGTCCCCTTGAGCAATTGGCAAGTGATTCCTCCCACTTTACACATTAGATTTCCCACAAGTTTAAAGTGTGCTTATTTAAAGCCTATGTCATAGAAAAAAATAGCATGAAGCTTTGCCTGATGAGAATCATTGGCTGCAAAGGTTAATTAAATGCACTAAAGGGTTAATCACTCGTAATACAGTATGATTAAAATCACTCTAATTGGTTTGAGAAAGAGGCTGATAAGAAAGAAGAAAAAGGCAGCTGTCCTTTAAGATTATCAGGAGTACCATAAACTAGCCTTGAGTGAGTCCTGTCCTCAGGATCCAAAGCGATATGACAATAGATGCCTAGCAGCCCTGTTTGCTAAAGGGCTATTAAAATTGAATCTGTTTGATTTTATCTTTACGCTTCTTCAAAGAAACTACGTTTTCAAAGTTTTAAATAGCACTTATAAACAACACTTCAAAATGTGTAGGATTCTTGATCTGATGTGGTATAAGCATAACGTTTGAGAACTTGTAGAGATCATTTGTAGTGTGGTTCTTAAAAGAAAAACTACATTTGGTCTGTAAGTGGAAGCTATTCACTCTCTGTTCAGCTTAACTTAATAAAAAAAACTCCAAACGCAAAGATCATAGGTAATTTTCCCTGTTCTTCATCAAAGTGACGCAGTTCTTTTGTGCATTAAAGTAATATCTAATTGTCACAGAAGAAGGTGAAAATGAAACCTAGACAAAAAGCCGAGCCATTGAATAACAATAGAGAGGGAATGCGGGAGGAGATAATTATGGTTGAAGGTCAACAAAACGTTTCCAGGGACTTTACAGATGTAGCTGATAAAGACTAAAGCTTGTAAAAATACTTCAGAGACTACAGATTTGTGCCACCATATGGCTTCATTATACAGTAAGAGCTATAAACGCAAATCTCCTCTTTTCCCTCCCTTCTCTTCCTATTTTTTATGCATCTCATCATTTTCTTTTAACCCCTACCCCCTTGATATTAGAGGTCAATCTGCCTCCAGTGATGAGGAGCACTTGTGAGCATATGTGATTTAGAGGAATCAGATCAAATGACTACCACCCTGCTTAAGTGATCTCAGACATCATGATGAATAGGTTGGCTAATATTTTCTTATGTTTGGCCCATAATTCTACGCCCACAGTGCAGGAATTGAGATTAACATTTTGTTAGTGTCTTCTGGTACCACTTCACACAGTACTGTGCAAAAGTATTGAGCTCTCCTTGATTTCTTGATTTTTTCATTCCAAGAAGCCAGACATTGTTCTCAATTTTAAAGTTGTCCTAAGGAATAGTTCTCCAGGCTTCCGGAAGGTCTTTCAAAGTTTTTCTTTGGACATTGGCTGCTTTTTTTCTCTCTTTTTCAGTCAAATCCCTCTACCTGACCAGTTTTAGAGGAATGTTTTATTATTATAGGATAAAAAACACATAACTCAAGGGATAAACCAGTGATGCCTCTACAATATAGGCCCCTTTTTGCTTAAATGTGACACAAAAACATGGTGCCAGTGGTCTCCATGGACAAATACTGAGGTATGTCAAATTACACAAAAACTGGATTGAAACTCAGTGGCGACAGGTCTGATGGATTAATTAATCCAAATGTAACTTTTTTTGTTTCAAATCATTGTCAGTATGTATGTAAAACATGGTGGAGGCTTTGTCATGGTTTTGGGATCCATTTTAACCAGTGGTTCTGGGAACCTTGTCAAAACTGATTACTAACATCAAAAAGTGTCATCAAATTTTGATCCACCATGCAATACCTTCTGGAAAGCATCTAAATAGCAATGGCTTCATTTTCCAGCATGACAATGATCCCAAACACACTGTCAATAATGTAAAAATAAACCTGGGTGGAAAAGCACAGAGTGGAACACTCGGTCATGGATTGGCTTCTCCAGAGTCTGGACCTGTGTGGGATCATCATGACAAAGAACAGAACAAAAGGCAGCCGACATCCAAAGAAGAGCTTTGAATGTCCTTCAAGAAGCCTGGAGAACTATTCATGGAGACGATTTAAAGAAATTACAAGAATGCTTAAAAGAGTTCAGGCTGTCTTAGAGATTAAAGTTGGTCATACCAAATATTGACTTTGAAGCTGGTCAGAATTGTATAAGCATTGTTTTTGCCTTATGTGCATACTGTATTCCCATATATCTTTGCACATTTTTTAATAAAATTCCAAAAATATAGCAAAATATCAAGAAATTGGATGACCACAGTACTGGACATTGAATAAATAAAGGTATTTTATAGATGTATTGGATAACAAAGGCAATATTAAACCTTATTTGTGCAGACATCTTTTATTTATGCGGGGGAAGGAATGGACCAGTCACACTTGCCACCTATAGTTTGATGTTTGATTGCAGGATGTTTGTGCTTAATGGTAGTGGGTGCACAGACGGGCGTTAAAGCTATGATTTCACAAGGTGATCAGTTTCAAATCCTTGCAACTGATTATGGTTTTGTTTGTAGTAGGGTTTTTTTGGTCATTTTTTGCATTTTATTATTATTATTTGTTTATTTCTGTTGAGTCATTGTTGAGTCATTGCATCTGTAATCACTGTGCTTTGTTAACGTGAGCACTATCAAGACAGATTCTTCCCAATCGCAGATATGTTGGTACCTTTGTGAGGAACAGCAAAATGTAACATTCTGTACATATCAGAGGACCCACTGGCAAGGGTCCGAATTAAAGACTGGGCCTAAATTGATCCAAATATTTTTTTTCTTTTTTGAGGGGAAAT